GACTATCTGGAGCTTGTGTTTCTCCCTCCCTCCCCGTTTTCCTATTGTCAAGTGTATTCTCCTTGAGGACGGGGAACCGTCTGCTTTTGCAACTGTAACTCTGTAGCACACCATGTACCGTGACGATGCTGTGTGGATAATAAAGGGAGTCTCCTTGGAATATATCCTGGCTGGTGATGCAAAAGGTCAGGCTAAGACTCAGAGAGCTGCGCAATTATTTTTCTCATGCCCGTGCACTGTCCTTACATGATGCTGTGTGGCAACCTGCTTTTGAAACTGAGGGCCGTTATCAAAAGCAAACATTATGGTGTGTTTGTGTGGGCTGTTCAGAGAATTTTTTTTAAAAAAACAAACACTGGGTATGCCCAGCCCTGTTGTCATGCATAAGCAGCTTTTTCGTTTTTCTGAGAACTGAATACTTTGGGGCAACTGTTTACTGAACAAAAATAATGCCATAGTTGTTACAACAGAAGCTTTGGAGTTCCCCTCAATCCTCGTTCTCTCTATTGGTTACTGTTTAATCCCACCTGTTCCCTAAGGAAGTGAGGTGCATGCTTCCTCCCCCTTTATCATTGCAACCAATGCTCCTTCTAAGCTGTGGAGTCTTGTGAGCAAAAATTCTGCTTTGTAAGCTACTCTGGCATTAAAGTTGTGAGTGATCAGTTTGGCTACTGCATAAATCAGTTTGTTCTGGAGCCATCCTTCCTGAGCTAAGACAAAAATGTGTGAGCCGGAGGCTAAAAAACTGTGAGCTGGCTCACACTAACTCAGCTTAGAGGGAACACTGATTGCAGTTGCTTAGCGAGGTAGGCTAGGTCGAAAGAGAGTGACCGGTCCGAGGTCATCCAGTGAGCTTTGTGGTTGAGTGGGAGAGCTAAACTGAAGTTTCCCTGGTCCAGACACTACACTGTTTGGAACTGTGTGTGCCTTTTTTCCCCTTTTGCTTTTAGCGTGTGACTCTGAATGAAATATACTTGTATAGTTAAGCTAAACTATGTGCCAGGCAAGTTAAACATAAAGATTTTGGCATTCTTATATTCATTTTGAAAGCAGAAATCTACTGTATTTGTCTCCATGATCCTAACCCACCCTCCCCAATAACATTTTCAGAAACATTTTAATTCCTAACCCACCCAGGTTTACCCTAGTGCTGCTAAGTGTCTGGTGTAGTCCACTGGAACTCTGGATATGCAGCTGTGGGTGCCTGAATGTAGAAACCAGGAACGCCGTCCTCTGGTGACCCTGTGATGAAATGTCCTTGTAAATAACTGATATGCTGACAACACTTCCAGCCGGCCTTGTTTGCAAATGTTCTGACAGTTGGCATCTGTAACCACAGACAAGGCTTGTTTTCTCCAAACGCTGATTAGGTGCTCCTAATGTTGGGCGTAGGACTGAATGGGTGCCTCTGCCAGTTTAAACTGTCGTCCCCCCCCCCGATCTGTGAAGATTAACCAGTTTTGAAAGGCTGTATGTGTGTTGCAAAATAATTTAGCAGAGACAGTCTTCAAAACCAGGTGTCTGGTGGTAGGAGCACATGGCGAGGCCTTCCAAATGCTCTGGGGAGAGTGGGATTTCTCCCCCATGCCCACCCCCATCTTCTGCAAACAGCTTCATAGTAGATTCTCTTGTCTTGCTTGAAAAGATTGTTGAATGGGTAAAAGAGGAATCCTTACCTATTTCAATGAAATGTATATGATGTAATGTTAATATGGCAGATCAGCCGCTTCAGAGGCCCTTCGTGTAAAATGGGTCATTATTTTTCCAGGTGGAAGAGGGCTAAGAGATGGGTTGTGTCCAGACAGGCAGGTTGCCGTGGCAGTATCCCGCGGAGAAAAAAGCCACTGGAGTTGGGTGCGCTTCACAGCATTCACACCGGTCCCACAATGCCGGTTGCATTGGGTAGCCGGCCTGTGAGGGCCGCTTCACGTCGCTACCACACCACCAGCACGGAGCCATGGCTGATGCGCCCCCCTGATTGGTTGGGTTGCTGAAAACGGCATACTGCCGGCTGATCAGACGCCAGAAAAGCCGCCATGGAAGCGCCTCACCCGGGAAACCACCGGATTTCCCCGGTAGCTTTTTAAGCCATTGGGGAGTCATTCAACCATGAGATGGGTACGGATGGCTGTCAGGTGCCAGATGTGTGCATCTGATCATGCTGCTTTGATCCGGAGGGGAGGAGTGACTGTCGGGGCAAACTGCCCATGTGATCAGAGCCATGGAGCAGCTTGTCCAAGACTTTGTAGGAACTGTTTAGGTCACTGACCTGAATACGCATGGCATGAAAATACATGCAATGTGTTCTTGATAGCATTGTTATTACTAAGAAGAAGACAACCACTTCAGGAGATGGGTGGTTTTGAGTGGGGAGTGATGGCCAAGGCAGAGCTTAACTCTTTTTCCACCCATAAAATCTCTCTGCTTCTTTGGGGAACAGAATATTTCTTTACCCTCACTGTCCTCTGTTGGGCTGTGGTTAGGCTACGAATCAGGACTCAAAACTAAGGTTTTTACTTCTTGTTCTTCTAGCCACTGCAGCAGCAGCGGTTTCATAACTAGGACCAACTAAGCCGGATCAGAGACCAGTGGTCTACCTAGTTGAGCACCTTGTTTATTAGCGGATGTTAACTTTTAGGCTCTGAAAGGATCCAGTTGCAGGCTGTGTTCATTTGTAAAGAGCAGACTTCAACGGCGGGGAGTCTTTTCTCCGGTCCCATTCAGTGTTCCCTCTAAGCTGAGTTAGTATGAGCTAGCTTACAGTTTTTTAGCCTCCAGCTCACACATTTTTGTCTTCGCTCAGGCAGGATGACTCCAAAGCAAACTGTATGCAGTAGCCAAGTGGCTCGCTCACCACTTTAATGCCAGCAGCTCACAAAGTAGAATTTTTGCTCACAAGGCTCCACATCTTAGAGGGAACATTGGTCCAATTCCAGATACTGTTTTGGGGAACAACTGCTGAGTCTAGGTGAAATTCATTTGAACTACGTGAAGGGCTTTTCAGTCCTCCTCCTGCTCTGGGTATGCACAATTGAGAAACAGTGTGCTTTGAACAGATTTCTGGATCAGATCAGTGGCCATGCAGGAAGCCTGATGTGTAGTTGCATTTCAGTCTCCCTTCCTACATGTTGCTGTTTCTCTGTGGTTTTGGTCACAGCTTTCCTTGTCATTCTTTCTTCAGGGAACCTCCAGCTCTGCCATTCTCCTAAACTTCATATCTGCAGAAGGCAACCATTTGTTCCTATAAGGAAGGCAGTGTGGAAAAAGCCCCGAATGAGTGTGGCTGTTTAATTACCCCTAACATGTTGCAGCTCAGTTAGATGCCACGAATGCGTTGAAAGGTGCAGACATATCTGATGGTTTTGAGAGGAGTGGGGGCGATTTGGATGTGCTCTCATTATGTTCAGTGCAAACACGTCTTTTGTTTTCCCTCTAGGGTCAATTGAAAGAATCTGGCTGTGTGTGGTGTTGATGAGATTACCCATCTCCTCCCTCCCTCCCTCCCAAGTCTCTACCTGTTTTGCATTGTTTCCATTTTTAAAAAATAAGGCAGCAAATGAAAGTATAAATGTTACATTCAGAGCTTTCTAAAAAAGTAGGCAGCTTGCCTAGTGCATAGCAAGGGCCAGATGGGTAGCTGAACCAGCATTTGATTCATTTAGTATGTTGGTCTGTCATTCAAATCACAAAGCTAGGAGGAAACCCAGGCTAAGGGAAGCACTGTGAACTTGTTCTCCCCACACACACACATCTGTTCTGACTCTAGAAAGCTTAGTAACTTTATGCTCTGACG